CTGGGGAGCTCTTGCAAGCTGCGTGGCGTCCCCCCTGTCCGTCCCTGCTCCCTCTCTATCGCTGAAATCGCTTCTGGCCAGGCCACAACACCTGTGACCCAGGGCTTGGAGCTGACGGAGGACATGGACGCTGTGGACTGCCTTCTCGATGCCTCACCCGACCCCAACGCCTCCGCACCAGCACGTGGCGGACAGGATGCGAGTCCCTTATTAGAGATGGCACCGGCGGTATCCGCCGGTGTGTCAGTCAACTGCGACCGTTATGAAGAAAACAGTCCCTCTGTGGTCCCCTTGAAGACACCGCACCCCTTGGAGTTGAGCCGCTGTCCTGTTTCCTCTTCTACAGCAGACAGACGGACGAAAAGCTTCACTACTCCTTCCGGTGTAAGCGCATCCTCCTCTTGATTTTTTTCTACTTGCGACTGTGGATTTAGACATACGCGTGGACAGGACGTTCCAGGTGCCGATTATCACAAGCGTGTTCTAGCTGCTCCCCGTTTGGCCATTCAGTGAAGCCGATGAATGTCCGGCGTTGACCGGAACTAGAAATTAGACTTGTCAGAGCGTGCTGAAATGGATCGACGCATCTACTAAGTCTCCAGCTGCAACCCTGATCTACCCGTCTTGCTCTCGCGCAACGGACCGGTAACATCGATTTCCAGTTACTTTTGATCCCTTCAGTGGACTATCGCATCTAGAGTTTTGCAATTTCTACACCGTTCGGCCAATTCAGAGGCCGGGTCCCTTCCCTTACTAACCGACACGTGTCTTATAAATATATCGGACGTCTTTATAGCTGGCCTACGCATGTACAGCTGTGCTGTGTTCCTCGTGTCGCTCTAAGCATTGAGATATTACATCGTAAGTATGCGGAAGTTCTTGTCTAAGCCACCCACAATTTCTGTTTATTTACGCGCCTTAAATCCACTCGGTAGTCGATTCAGAATGAACGGCGTTCCCGACCTCAGAGGATATGAGTGAGCACGCCTGTATGTAGTAGCTGCTTCGGCGCGTAAAGTCGGGTTCCTGTTTAAAATCGTCCATATATCGCGGCCGTCTCACTGTCCGACCACTTGGTCTCGCCTTCCCCTCAGGTCCCATTAGAGCTGTCGAAGTCGGGATCAGTAGCTCCTCTCCAAATAGCTGTCGGTCACCTTGGATGTTGCAGAGGGGTAGTTGACCTCATAAGTTGCCTTGTGGAATACGCGATGTTGGACCCCTCGACTACCAAAGTAGTCGCGATGGTTCGACTTCGCGTCTTGAATACCTGCAGTTAATTAGGTCCATAGTCTGCTCTTTCTAATGTAGATCCCCTCGATCCCAAATTTCATTGTCGGCAAATATATCCTAATTATTTGGGTGAATTCGCAGAAAACCGAACACTTCCTAACCTCGAATACTAAAATTACTACTCTATCCCTCCCCATTGGCAATATTGATGCATGGCCCACTACGTGCTGACACTGAAAGTTATGTTGACTGGGAGCATTTTTCAGCTGCTCCTTTTGGTCATGGTGTGGCCTGAATTTCGGCGTAGCTCATTTCCCTTACACATGAAAAATCGCCTCCCGATTTCTGCTTTGCCAGTTGACAATCCAACAACAGGAGTTGCCCAACCCACACGGAAAGTTCCGCTTGCCAAACCATGACTGCCTTTCGCCGGTGGAGGGAGAACTACCCATCACACTCGAACGATACTGCGTCACGGTGAAACCCAAAAATATCAACTTCCGCTCAAGATTGTACGTCCCATTCTTGCCTGTTATATGTTTAGCAACACACAGAAACAAATACAAGAGTGCAGGTGTAAACGCTGATACAAATGGCTGGTCTTTACTTGCTTTAATGGTGATTAAAGCTGGCCCAAAAGCCAACCCTGGTCCTATCCCCACGGTTCACCTTTGCATTCGTCAACAAGACCCTTTTCTCCCGACAATAACCGCTCAACATTGCCGGATAGCCTATTCTATGCTTTTTAGGCCCGCGGTGCGGCTTTTGGTAGGCTACAGCTTCCTGATCCTTCCCTGTAAGAATCATAGTGAGGTACATCATTCAAAGACTAACTCGCACAGTTTAGCCCGCCAAAGCACCTGCTTTCTGCTATATGCGAGGTAAAAATATCCGTAACCTTACGAAAATGTGATCACGGAGTCGTTTGCTTACTTCTCCAATGTTTTCATAGTAGGTAAGTTCACAGTAGATGTGCTGTCTCATGAAAAGTTGACAGAAATCCTGAAATATGTTTTCGATTCCAAAGGAATACTTAAGTAAAGTTGCAATTTTAACTATCGTGCAGCATAATTCTCAAGATATTTCAGTCACGCGAGGATGCTGGCTTTTGAATGAGCTTCCTTTCGGCCGCCGGCAAAAAGGCCACTGCTACTTATAAAGTATACAACCTGGTCCACACCCACCGCACAATTTTGAGTCCTATATGCCACTCGCCTAACAACGTAGAGGAATGCGTGATGTTCCTTTAGCGGATGTATGTAGCATGTAGGCTGCAAACCCTAAATTCAAGTGTAACGGAAGGTGGTGAACTTATTCAGGAGTTGAATAACTTTTAAAAAACCGAAAGGCATTCTCTCTCTCTCTGAGTAGGAAATTTGAAGACGTAATTTGCTACAAAATGAGTACAAGAGAGGATATTTTGTGTTCGTTTTCTATGTAATATATTTGAATTTTTAGGGGCACCGAAAACAAGTGGGGGAACTCATACTGTTTAAGTAGTCATTTTTATATCGTGGTTTTTGCAGACGACCGGAAAGAAGCTCATTCAAAAGGCAACATTTTGGCGTGACTGAAACATCTTAGGATTATGCTGCACGATAGGCGATATTACTTTCGAATCGGGGACATATTTCGGAATTTTGGTTGAAATTTCATGGGATAGCACATCAACTGTACGTCTGTGTGCTAGAAGACAGTCCGATCTTACCGAGGAGTAAATCCACAGTGGTGTCAACTTCTTAAGATCCCCTTCATGAGGAACTGATAACTAAAGAAGTTGCCTTTCTCCTCTTGGACTTCCGCGTGTTAAACAGCAGTTTCACCCAAACTCGTAAATGAGCGGTATGCACATGAACAGAACACAGAGCAAAACAAATTTTCAGCGAATTAGTGTCCCTCGGCAAAAAAGTGGATTCCAATTTACCGCGGGCTAACCAGGCTTGAGAGCCTGCTCTACTGGAAAATTCCAAAGTTCGCGGCGTGGAGCAAGGATTACTCTCTTAGAATCGGCGCCTCTGTCTCGTCTTATTAGAACTTGCTAGAACAACTAATAAGCAACAGCATCAAAGACCCAACGCGACCAACATTGTCCTATTGTTTTTAGAAGAAGCTCCCGGCCACAAAAAGCAAACTCAGGTTCCAGTAGGGCGTTAGTGCCTTAAGTGAATGCCACGAGTATATGCATATCCTCTAAGCTTCAATTAACTCCATGTACAGTAACGGTATTCGGATTCGCTAGTTACCATTTCTCTCTTAAGACAGAGGAAAATGTATGGGGAAAATGAAAACGCCCTGACTCATCGAAGGAGAAAGTGGGCAAATACGCTGTGGTACCATGTCATAAGACCTTTGTTATTAGCTTCTGCCAAAAGATTTGACGAATATGTTTCTGGAACAAAAGCAAGGTACTTAACTGCCCACTTCTAAACTGTCAACGGCTTTTGACATTTATATCGTGGATTTTTCCGAATATCGACTGGAGAAACACTTATTGTTGTGCAATGTTGCAGCAAGACTGCATTTGTTACAAAGACCTGAACCTTGTGGCGTTTCCCAACCCCCGCCCCCGCGCCAGCATGAAGAGCGCTCTTCCGTTTAAACTGGTGAATAAAACGAGTAAACGTTTTGTTGTCTCTCTTAAGCCCGTCCCGTCGTCTTTTATGAATGATATGCGGACGAAATATCGTACCTCTACAGTGGTTATAGTTCGTCAAATTCTTTTATACACACCGCCTGTCCCGATCTTGCCCATCGTTTTTAGTACCTATAATTTTTGCATCCTGCATACAAGGACGTGAAACAGTCTTATCGGGTACCGCGTACTCACACCACCCTTTCTACAAGAAATAACAAGATGCATACACGTTATTTACCAACTGTGTCCTTGTTGGCAAGGTTGTTAGTCACTCTGAAATGCACGAACTACAAAAGCTTCTAATTTACTCCCATCTTTTGGTCAGACGGGCTTATGGCCGCCGTGCGCGTACCCTGCAAATAGTAATCCACGCTTTGCCATCGTCCTTAATTGATGGTAAGTGCAAATTATCGGTGTTCCTTCCCAAGTGAGCACTTCTACCGAAGAATGGATCGCGAAACTTCGCCCTTGAGGGGTAGTGCTACCGCCAGAAACGGCTTTTCTCCACAGCCTGCCTCCCGTCACGGAATCATCCGTACTTTTCTCCCTCCATTTGTTTTTAGCGCTCTGCCTCTATCGACTCCTCAACGTAGTATGCCCATCGATCTCTTCACGGAGATTCAGACGGCTGACAGCAGTTTCCCAGTGGCTGGGATCTCGCCGGCCAGTGAAGCTACTTCCTACCAAGTTTCGGAGATCGCCGCTGACCGTCTTGATAGTAGTCCCGGCAAGGCCACAATCACCACTAGCACCTCAACAATCAAGCCCAATCACAGTATCTCCGTGGATGAATCCGACTCGCCAGTGCTCACTGCGGTGCCGTCTACACGTGAGAAATACGCCCTATCTGAAATTTTCTGCGGACACAAGCCCTGCTTCAGTTTCTGCCTCTCACTCTTTATTCTTTTTACGCAGCTCGCCTTCGGTCTAGAAAAAGCCGTTTGATTGCGTAATTCCCGATCGCTGAGTACTTAACATCCCTGGGCGCCTATAGAAACCGATTTCAGATTTTCGATAGACATAATCTCCTGTCGCTTCTCATTGATCACATATTCAAGTGCTGCGCACGCGTCAAACTCAAAGCCACATGTGTGTGGTGTCTGCCACAAGGGCTTTAGAGGGGAGTCTGTCGGCGAATCTAAACGGCCGTATTTCGCCTTGTAATAAGGTCAGGTCGGCACACCTCACTCCCATGCGGCTTTTAATAGTCACGGCATGGATCCGTGATCCATCCTGTAGGGCGTTAGACTCGGTATCCACCTGGATAGGGGTTGTAATGTGGCCTTCCCAACCTAAGCTTCCGGTATAACTGTTGGTGTCAAAGAGACCCGGACATGATGCTCCAGTCCCTTTTGTCTTTGTCTAAAGTCTTGAGTTTTGCTAGCTGCAGCAGGGACACTACGGGGTCCAAATAAGAACAAGCTACTAGAGGAAGGGGTTGCCGTGACAGCCGAGTTCCTTAAGTGCTGCAGTGGCCACGACTTCTTCCCCACGATAGCCCTCTGACTGCGCTCGGTACATCAAACCGCCGTGGAAGTGGTTCCACGCTTTCCCGTCTTAAGTGTCTGGAAAGGGGCATGTGTGGCTCTATTGGCAAGTCGTAGCCGGCTGTCTACTATATACTTAGCCCGGTCTCTTGGTATCTTTTTCGGACATCTAGCGCACTCCACAGCACGCGCAGAGGCGTACTATAAACGACTGCAGCTACAGTGTGCTTACTCATGAAATGTTAACCGAGATTCTGAAGTGCGTTTTCGACCCAAAAAAACTAATTAAGTAGGATTGTAAAAATAATCATCCTGCAGTTACTCCAGGATGCCAGCTTTCGTACGAACCTCTTTCCGACCGCATGCAAAAACTATACTCTGTAAAAAAAGACTACTTAAGTATCATGCATTTTTCTCATTGATTTTCGATACCCCTACAAATCCAGTTATATTTTGTGAAAAACATGCACAAAATATTTATTTTTTGCTCATTTGGTAGAAAATTATGTCTCCTTCCAATTTTATGCTCGAAGGAAGGGTACAATTCGGTTTTCAAAAACTTTTTCAATTCTCGAATAATTCTGAACCCGACCTGCCGCTAAACTTGCATTCAGGGTTTCCAAACTACAAGCCGTATATTTTCCGCGTACGGAAAACCATATATTTTTCTACTGTATTAAGAGGAGACCATATGGAGCTCATAAAATTTAGCAGTGGATTTGAGTCATATTGTTAGCTATACAAGCCACATTGGTAAATACAGACATGACATTTTATGAACGGCAATTCCACGGTATTAAAAAATTTTACAATTAGAAACTTTTTAAAACCGAATTAAATCCTTCCTTCGAGTATAAAACTGAAAGACGTAATTTTCTACCGAATGATTAAAATAATGAATATTTTCTGCATGTTTTTCACTCAATATAACTGGATTTGTAGGAGCATCGAAAATCAATGAGAAAATGCATGCTACTTGAGTAGTCAGTCTTTACAGAGTATAGTCCTTACATGCGGCCGGAAAGAAGTTCGTACGGAAGCTGGCATCCTGGGGTAACTGAATTATTATAGAATTATGCTGCAGGATAATTATTTTTACAACCCTACTTAATTACTCTTTTTGGGTCGAAAACGCACTTCAGGATTTCAATCAACATTTCATGAGTTGGCACATCTACTGTGGTTTCAAGGTGAACATGAGGACGAAAATCATATCACTAGTTGAAAAACGCCTCATGTCCAGCTTCATCGGAATAATGTCAAGCCGCCAGACAACTTTCAGTTGACCCGCTCTCCTATATCCACTACAGACATGACAGAATCCGACCTAAGTTGGGCAAGGCGGTCCACTTCAGAGCTTGAAGTCCGAGACTACTACACCCTGACCTCACCCTCTGAGGGCGAAATGGACTCCTCATCGGAGAGCTGCAACATGAGCAACTCTTCTAATCCCAAGCTAGTTCCATCATGCTTCCAACCTGTTCGTCGTGAACGCCCCGTCAACTCTACCATCATGACTTCTCCAGATTCGTGCCGGCCATGAAGCACACAGGCAAATTATTCCCTTTTCGAGCGGGTGATTGTCGACTGAATTGTGGATATTTTTAGTTCTCGGTTCTCCCGGTGACATCTTGCCATTCTCCTCCATACTTCAAGTCTTTCTCGCCGAATGGGAGTGATTCTCCCTAGCCACTTCCCGTTTCTGGCGCATTCAATATTTTGCCCTATTCTTCTCACTTACCTCATGACTGTAAGTTCGAAGTTTACTGCTCTATATTCTCCTTTTTGAAGGTTCATTCTGCTGTTTACGCTTATAATTTGCGAGCCTCGGCAAACGTCCATGAGGAAAACCAGTGGGAGAAGGACAGTACGTGCATAGCCCGTGCAGTTTAGACCATTATGGATAGCTAGCATACGTATAAGTGGGCTAGGCTCTGATGCTGGCTTGCAACTTATGTCCCCGAGGTCGTTACTGGGCTACATATGAACTCTATGGTGCTACTGTTTGCTTCCCTTCAAGGTGACTCCAACAGCCCACGAACGTTACTGGTTTAGTTGGGGCATATCTTCTGTTGTACCAGGCAGATTCAAACTGCACCTGGTCGGCAGTTTTTTCTACTTATGGGTCAGAATTTACGTATGGCACTCCAAGTTGCATGTGTCCAGGAAGCATGATCTTACGTCCTGGCTTTTAATTGTTTCCTGCTCAGGCTGCCAGCATACGGATCCCACAACGGCTGTAAGAAATCAAACAGTTTGGAATGTGATCTCGATAGAGGTGGGTATCATTAGAAATGCGAAGGTTGGTGTGTTTTCTGGGTGCTGTTAAAAGTCTATCATGGTAGCATACGGTCGGGTAATTTTAACGACCTCTTGATAAGCGTTAAGATCTATGCCATCCATGAACGTCAGAACCAGGGCCTGCAACCGCCACGACTTGGCTCCGGGGACGGATTTCAGCGTCCCAATAAACTGGACAAGTCGGTCTTGGGCAGCTTCCCCAGCTAGGCTCGTCTTTAAGTCTTCCGCGAGTAGTGAGACGTCCACCAGGACGCAGGGATGTGCGTCCATCTGTAACGGTGACAGGATTTCGACCTCGTTGTTTTGGGAGTCAAATGCTGAAATTCTTCAGAGTAACTTGCAAAAAAACTTACATTCCGAGGAGGCGTACGGTCAAAACATGTGTACTGGTGAGCTGTTTGAATTCATCGAACTTTTCGTAGAGTTCATCAAAGTTCACGTAGGGAGCAAAATCCATAGTACCTTGGATAAAAAAGAAATGAGAACGGTTATCTCTAAAGCTATGTAGGAAGTACATTCGTGATATCCCCAAGGAGAGGGCCTTTGTCAACCTAATAATTGCATACCCAGGACCTTCGGGGGTTTTGGATGGTGAAGCTACTGCCAAACTTACCCGTTAGAAGAGCAAACGTGCGTCTGCGAATAAGCAATCGCCGACCGCCTGTGGCAGGACACAGAGAGCCTCACTCTTGTGAATCGAGTACCCGCAGAGTCCGATGACAGCACTATGGTATACCGAGCGTGGACAGACACTACACATATTATCGCTACCGCTCTTTTGCAAGCTGAGTCCACACCCAATAGGTAGGTTGGGTACTAAGAAATCCAACTCGTGACTTACGCAGTCAGTCATGTGCAGGTGTCGTCCGCCCGAGCGCGACTCTGACTGGCGACGGCGCCGAAATAGTCGAAGCAAGACGTGGGTGGACGCAGTGAAAGCTAACCGCTGACACACACAACCCGAGCCCTTAATTCTGCAGACTTGGCATGCCAAATGACTCAGACTCGCTCGGAAATATGCCATAAACGGACGGTATTGGAAGGCGAGCGTTCGCGATGTGGTGAACTAACATGGAACTAGTTTAGTTAGTTTGGCTGAGTGCCGCCGACAGAAAAAGCGCTTCAGTGTACACGAGCATAAAGGCTGCGAAGACCGCCGAGACATCAGTTGTTTTTGGCGGTAGGGGAGGTGTTTCTGCAGTTGGCACATACGGGTAGTAAAAGTGTGTCCGGGAAGACAGATAACCTAACGACGTGCTGCTAGCCTCGTCCACATGTGGTGGAGTGTAACGGGGCTCAGAAAAAGCTGGCAACGGAGTAAACGGGTTCCAAAGTCTGATAAATTAAGCAGCCGCTGGTGTTTAGGGGTAGTATCCGTAGGTATGGTTAGGAGCTGGTAAGGCAAGCTGGCTATCTATGAAGAGGTCATAGCGTCTGTCTGAAATCCGAACATCCCGCCAAAACTCAGAAAATTAACATCCCATGAGTCAGCCTAGGATTAATGATTGTCCTCTCGTGACAAACAAATCGTGCATTGTTTACGTGGGGACGCCCTTTTTTCCGCGTGTCCAAGTTAGCTGCTGATCGCCGCAGTGATAAAACCCTTGGCCCGCAGCTCCAGGAACTAGGTGGAAAATCCAAACGCCGGATCTGCTGATTGCTGCCAGTGACCGGTTTGAGAAAGCTAGACTTAAAAACTACAAACAATAACCTCGATTGTCACTTTGAAATGGGCGTCAGCGCAAAATCGGTTGAACAATATCGAGCTGGCTGATTAGGGCCGGCAGGCTGTCAACAATACGTATTTCCAGCATCGGCGCAAACATGTGCCAACCAGGCCTTCAAACGATACTGATTGCGTTCCAGTTGGCTCAGAGTTTCGGAACTGGGTTCATGTGCGGTAATGAAATTTGCAAAGCCTAGGCGTCAGACTGTGTTCTCGTTCGCACACGTTTGAGAGTCCACCTTCCAGTCGCGCCCAAAATGCGTCGTAGAAGGCGCCTCGATATCGCAGAATTACGACATTCAAACACAGCAAGAGCCACGGGCACTTAACTCGTTGCAGCCCGAAATAAAGGACGAGGCAGTGATAAACAGCCATCACTAATGCCCTCAGTGATGGCTGAGATGCATCCATGATTCAGCTGGCGACCTCGGGTTGACTGAGTCAGTTCAAGAACCTTACACCTGTACATCTCTGTACAACAATGCGGACCCCTTCTGGCAACTCTGCGAAATGACTACAATTTCGACTGGAGATGACCGCCAAAGTATCGGGTTGGTGTTGTAACCTCTGTGAAGTAGGTCCCACACCCAACGACTAAATAACCTTCGTCTAGTTAGTGTTAGGCAATTGTTCGCGATGTTAGTGATTACCTCGCGCCTAACAGCGTGAGTGCTTGCGTGCCAACTTTGACGACCGACCGACCGATCACTCCAGCTCTTTTCCGCAGCGTATGCGCTCTCATAGTACCCTGCTTCTTCGGAATAAATCATCGATGCAACACCGAGACTGTTCAGTAACAAGGCTCTCTTGGTTGAAGGTACCCAGCTGAAATTTTAAAGTCTCATGTCAATGCCCCAGCATGAAGTGATGTAACATGCATAGAGAGATGCAACAGTTCCTAATGACTGTGGTTCGGCTGTCCTTGTGTGCGTTGTCATGAATGGGAATTAGTACAAAGTACGACGATCACCGCGGTGTAAATGTGGCCGATCTTGCTGCAAGGGTCATGGGCGGTGTTGTTATCGAGCGGTCAGAATGTTCATGACTTGGAAATGAGATTTAACCTAGCCAGTAATGGTGGTTAATAGTATGACCTCGAAACTCAAGAAATTAATTAAAATTTATTGACAAACGAGACATACTAGGGTCCTAGTTTACGGAGATGGTGGTTTTATGCTGCAGGATTGCTTCTCAAAATGATCAGATATTTTGTCCCTCTGATGTGCTTATTACCGACTCTCTCAATTCAAAGAGATAAGCCGCCACACAGGGCCGCTGCATATGTTCAGTCGATTGAGGGTGTCTATAGTCTCAAAATTTGGTCCAGTATAAGGCAATGACTCGCGAGAAGGCTACGATCAAAGCCTTTCTGCTCTATAGCTGCGAAAATTACCTTTACTCACTGGTTATCTGAGGAAGACTCCACAGAATGCTAGGGACTGAACTCATGACTCACGTCACGAATGCGCAATTTGAGACACCTGTTACGTTTTAATAGAAGGTCGACGCCCCAGTGCTCAGTCGCGCCTCCCTCGACCCAAAGGGGGGCCTACCCGAGACGCCATATATTGAATCCTCTGCGCGAGTTGATGTCACAATATTGCCCGATCAAATAAGTGAACAGATGCAGTTAAGCCGGACTCCGAGAGGACGCGGGCGCTTAGGAATGAAACACCAACTGGATAACCGCAGGCAGCCAACGATTGCAGGGCATAGGTCGCACTCGTCCGCTGCGTCGTGCGCTCTGGCTTGGAAGACCACGATGGCTCCTCTGTGTCACTCCCAATCAGATGGGGTCCTAGCTATCTCCTTGTTTGTGCCAAAACCTGGTCAACTGTGCGCGGATCAGATCGTGTGTAACACTCTCAGACGGTCTGCTTGCACACACCTGGCTGTGGAGCACACAGTGGACATCGTCCTTCACTACGGCCGATCTGACGGGTAATAGCTGACTCGCTTGTTAAAACACGCTGGTGTTAGCTGTTACAAGTACAAACAAAGTGGTGTGTTCAGAGTGGATACTAGAGGGGCCGTGTATGAAGTGGTCGCAAACTTTCCAACTTACGTTGGAGAGAGATGATACACCCATCCAGGGAATATATAAATGCCGTATAGTGCATTAGAAAGCCGGCGGCGCTAAATGAGGGAAGGGTAGCATTGTTTACAAAATAGATCCCTCGCAAGTCTGTGACAGTGCGCATTCTGGAATAATATGAAAAAATGAAAGCCCTTCCGAAAATCAGAACATTATCCAAGATTTTTCAAACAGTTACGGCAGTCAGTCGTCGAGCGAAATGGCTGGGAGGGTTTTTCGCAGGTTGGTGGAGGATTGAAGATCGAGAGGTGGATGGACCACTAAAGGGTGTGACGCATAGAGGCTACAACTGACGTCTCCAGGCCGATAATGCAATGAGGGTTATGCTCGCCATTCATTGAAGGGTGGGGTCGGAAAATGACGGCCCAGTAGGCATGGTTCATGGCCTGCTGTTACAATTACTCGATTTCGTGGAAACAAA